AGTATTTATAGAGTATATATTTTGAATATTTTCGATTTAAAAAAAAAAATGTCAACTTGCTACAGTGTGTAAACACACCTCAACCACTGCTTTTCCACCGCTTTTCCAATATCAACTTGTACAGCTTCTGTTTATCATTTGGCTTGAATAATTGAGGCTTCGGACATTATGCAGTGTATTGTGTTTTTTTTTTTTTTTAAAAAAAACAGAAAATCTAAAAATGTTTGTGAGTGGTGACATTTTTTTTGTACCACTATGTGTTTATGGGAAACACTCAAACACTCGGAACCTTAGGTTATGGTTTGAGAAAACTTGGGGGACATATAATATATATAACTTATGTTCTATATATGTTCTTTTGTTGTAGGTATGTAGTGTTTGACTAGTATCCGAATTTTTTTTTTTTTTTTGAAAAACTTGTATCCGAATTTGAAGACAGTTAAATAACAATACAATTCAGAACCTTCATAAATTCGTCAACTACTCTTGATTCATGAAGTAGTGAAGAAGCACAAAAATTAGGAACTTACGTCATTGCTCTCCTTTTTTTTTTGTTTTTGGTCGGAATACGTCATTGCTCTCCATATATATTCACACGAGATAAATAGTTTTCTTCTTGCGAATTAACCGTATCCGTACTATATTGGCATATTGGAAATTGGAAATATATGTAACGCGTGACGCAATTCCAAACATGATCATTTTGATTTTGTATGTCACATACAGTATGTGTTTTTTGTTTTGTAGAGACATGTGTTATAATGCCAAATCTTATCTATACTACACTACACATATATCTCGTTGGTTAATTTGTTAAGGTTTGGAAATGTTTACGACTAGTTTAATTTAAAGTTTTAAATATTTGTTATTAAATCCAAAAATGTTTTTGTATGTTTGTGATGGATTATTTAATCATATATGTCGTTTTCTATCATTATCTTACATGGATATAATAATGCAATACTTTTTCACGTGTAAATAAAACGATCATAATTAAGATTCTTCAATTATCCTCTATTTAGTGATCACCATATAAGTAAAATAATGCTTTGACATATGATTAGGATATAGTTATTGGAGAC